GGAGCATCATGGTATCTGGCACACCTTTTGGGGGCAGGACACAGTTACAACAGGAACTTTACCTAACAAATGCAATCAGTGTAACCTAAGTCTTCATACCTTCAATGAACCCCAAACAATGAAAAAAGGGTTCACTCAAACAAATAAATAAATAAAATTCAGATCACAAAAACATAAAAAGATCACAAAAGTCCTGGAGTTTATTTTCTCTTCTCAAATATTTGTGTTACCTGATGCTCCAGAAAGGTTTACCATTTTGGTTCTAGCTTCCAATACTCTAAGAAGTCTATGATTTGTGTGGCATGTATACCCAGAAATGGGACTAAGATCAGGAATCCTGTAGACCTCTAAGTCTAAGACACCCCCAGAGTTCTTCTGTTCCTGTTGTCACCCACCTGACACATGAGCTAAGAGGAGGCATTGTCAGCAACAGTGAGGACTTAACTGTCGTGGTGATGACGAGGCAGCTGCCAACTTCCCTTCAGAAGACACTTCAGGGCCTCACAAAAGGAGAGTTGACGTTTCAGAGGTTTTAAACTATGACTGCAAATCCTTTGAAACTGTTCATTCTCATCAGTTGTAGTGTTTATAGCACTGTAGGATAACTATAGTTAACAATAATATATAGTTTCAAATAGCTCGAGGGAGGATGTGGAATGCTCCAAACACAAAGACAAATGATAGAGATGAAAGACGTGTTAATTACCCTGATCTAATCACCATACATTGTAGGTATCAAAGCATAACCCCCCCCCAATATGTACAATAATGTACTGATTTAAAAAAAATAAAAATAAATAGATACTATGCTCTCTTCTATGCTGACTCTGCATGAAACAATGAAACTTCTGAGGTTAAAGTAGAAGAGGGAATATGGCTTCCACCTGGCTCTCTCCTTCTCGGAATGTTTGCCCCTGGTACCCAGCCTCCACTGCGGCAGGAAACTGAAGCCACAGGAAGAGGTAGCCTGTAAGTGCTCCAGCCAACATGAATGAGGAAGCCTTCAGTCACAGTCCCTGGTGAGGAAGCCTTTGAGACAGCTCCAGACTCAGTCACTGTCTTAATTGTAACCACAGGAGCCCTTGAGCAAGAGCAGCCTAACTCAATCCAATCACCTCACAGACACAGGATGATTAATTATAAATTACTATCGTTGTTTTAAACCACTAAGTGTAGGCAGTAATAGATATTCAAAACAAGGGTGGTATATGTAGGCCTGAACCCCTGGGTAGGGGAAAGGATGGACTGTGTAGTTCAGAGAGCACCATCCTCACACGGCTGGGGCCCAGACCCCACCCCGATTTCACTTTCCATGTTGGATTACAATGTGTCCATTTACTTTTCCATCCCCATCAGGAAGATGGTAGATGCTTCACAAACACACATGGAAAAGGGAGGGAAAGGATGGCACAGGCTGGGAGCTGCCCCGCAGACGGTGAGCCCCATCCCAGGAGTGTAGTAAAATCCTTCCTGGGTTGGACTGGTGAATGGCTCCACGGAGTGCAAAGCTGCCTGGAGGTGCTGGTGCTCTCACCGACTCTGTCACCTATCAGTGGAATGCCCCCCAGTACCTCATATTCCCAGAGCATTCACATTTCTCACACGGGGCACAGGAAACAACAAAATCAGCAGGAAATGATCTTCTAGATGTACCAATTGCACTTTAATCATCCGTTTTGGACATTTTTACTGATAACCTGCTATATGTTGGGCACAAAAGTCAGAAATCCGAAACACAATTTTACATAAAAGGAAAGACAAATGTATGACAGAGAAGGAGGCAACGTTAGCATAAATTTTAAAAGGAAAAAAGAAAGAGACATCAAAGAACATTCACCCTCACACTGAATCACACCCCAGCACTCCTACCTCAGAATCTCAGTGTTCACTCTTCTCAGCTATTAGGAGTACAGAGTTCAAGAAAATTTCATTTAAAGCATGAACAAAAATGCTTATCATGTCTTCCTGTGCCATAGGTCAAAAGTTGGTAGCCTGAGGTCTACTCTGCCTAATTGCTGGTGAGTCTTAGATGAACCACAGTGATTTGAGTTTTTACCACTTGAGTTGGTAGCCAATTTTTAAGATTCAGGGTTTTCATTTACTAAACTGGATTTTTGACTTCCTCTGTTTAAAAACAAAAAAGAAAATTGGAAGAGCCAGCAACCTCGAGTCCATTTCCTAATGTGGCATCGAGTTTCAGCTCCTGTTGCCAGATTGGATAAGACCTGGTCCCCACCGCTCTCCACTGCCCTCACTGCTCTCTGTCCACACCAACAAGCAGACTCCTGGCCTGGTTCTCTTGCTCCTGTTAACTGACTGACCCCAGGAAGGATTGGAATCTATACCCCTCCGCCTTCTAGATTGACACACACAATCATGTGGGTTCTTTGCTAGCATTTAATATCATCTTTTCCATCTTCAATGTCTCTAAAATTTTCAAGACACTAGTTTTAAGTCAGATCTAGAAATTGGGGCTTATCTGCCCCAATCACAAATCAGACAATCGTAGTCCTGGAATGAGCCCACTTTTCTGATCACAGGCATATGATTCTGAAGATGATCATATAATCATAGGAATAAGTCCAAATTTTCTGACTTACCCTCAAGGAAGGAATCAGACTGAAAGAATATATCTTCCCCAAATAGAGAGTCCCAGAAAAATCAGGAAAGCAGAGAATAG